CCCTGACCTCCCAACCTCCTCCTGTCCTTTCCTAACTCTTTTCTTTGTGTCCTCTGTCCCCTTTCCTCCTGCAGCTCTTCCTTCACTAGAGAGCCCCCCCATCCTCCAAGTCTCCCTTGCTCTCGCCATGAGCCATCACCAATTGTCACCGGGAGGCCGGACACCAGGAGAACGCAGATGACATCTTCATTATCATCCTGTGTGGCTAAGTCCTGAGGAGCCCCAGGCCCTGGCCAGGACGGGAGTAACAGAAGGGAAAAAAATGATTCTTACAAGGTCATGACAGGAAAGCTGTCTTTGCTGCCAGACTTGCTTGGGAATTGGAGGGGCTGCCAGCTGCCTCTGTTGTGGAAACTCCCGGGAGGTGGATCTTTAGTTCAGCAAGAGAAAGTCACAGAACGGGCCACCTGCACTGCTGCAAGCTGTGAACTCATAATGTCTAAATCAGTGATGGCTTTTCGGCCTCCTAACCTTGAATTCACCTCTACTCACACCTCCTTCTGCACTTGGCCCCATTTTCTGTCTCCCAGGAGATCCAGGAACTCTGCTAAACGCCCCACATTTGCTCCCTCTGCTCAGAATTCTTCCTGCCCCTTCCGCATACCATCCTGCAGCACGGTGCAACATCAGAGCCGGGTATTTGGAATCACTGGAATCGAGTTGATCTGCATGGCATCTTATTCGCCATTTGTGGTAACAGACCCACCCACTCCCCAGGGAAGAATGATATGGGGATCAACTGGGCCAACCACATGACCCCACCCGGACAACAGTGATTGGCCCAGGGGCCTGCCTATGAAATGGACCAATCAGAGCTCTTCGCTGGAATTTTCCATCTGCAATCGATGGGAAGAAATTTTCTCCTGTCTGGTTTTGAGACTGTAAGACTGAAAACCAGAAGCTGGCTGCACCTGTTCCCTGATGCCTGGAGAAAAGCCACCTTCAGGATAAAAGGAAAACCAAAAAACAATCCCAAAGGTCACGAGGATAAAGAACGGGATGTTGACAGCGAAGTTCCTGGATTGGTCTGCTCTGAGATGACAGCTACCCTGGCCCACTTTGGCTCTGGTGGTTTCTGTCACCGACAAGAGAAAGCACTTTGACTACCGCATGTGACACTCATTCTCCTCCCACATGACGGACGGGACACTAGTATTGCTCTCTGTCCCTGCCCACCTTGTGCCCAGCACAACCAGCTCTGGCTTCATCACTCCCCACACCCATATGCCGTCTCTTTGTGTCCAAACCTGCCTGGCCCAGCCACCATGCGGTATCTCTCAGATTTTCCTTCCTCTATTCCATCTGCCACAGTCCTGGCCCAAGCCATCCATTCATCTGATCCACCGTCTTTAACCCAGGGCCAGTTGTGGGGCAGGTGACATGCAGACTGGACAAGTCGGTGATGAGAAGAGACATCATCCTGATGCTGACCCCGCTGACCCAGATCTCCTTCAGATGAGCAGTCATCAAACACCACTTTTGTGTTACCCTTCTCCTCAGTAACATTCCTTGATGCTGTTTCCTACCTTATCAGATCTTAACATCTCTGTGTGGCCTTCAAAAGTCCTCCACCGCCTGCCTCCAAACAATGACCCATCAACCCAGCAGCCACTTTCTGTAACATCCTTACTGTATAACAGACACTTAGAAGCTGGACCTGCAGATGCCCAGTGGGTAACCAAAGGTGGAATAAAGCTTGGCATCTCTGTCTTCATTTTTAATATCTATCTCCTTTAGTCCCTTAAAATGTGGGGTCAGATCCCTGCCCAGTTCTACATATAACCATGCCAACACTTGAGGAGTGTCTGTTTTCAATGAGTAATACAAGGATTACTAGCCCTAAGTTTGCCTGGCCAGGTCATTCTCCTTCAAGACCGAAGACACCCAGATGAGAGAACTTAACTAATTTCACAGGGACAGCCAGCTTTTACAACGTCTAGTTCTAGACTCCTTGGAAGGATGCCTAGAAGTCATTGCCCTAAGACTGATTGCCTCACATTCCAGAGCCTCCCAGACCATCTCATGATGAAATTGTCTTCCCAAACAAGAGCAAATGCCCCATGGCTATGAACTGAAATTGTCCCAAAGCAGGAAGTGTCATTTCATCATCGGGACCCAACTGTCCCCTCAACAATGGCTCTTGTGAAATCTACAACTGGTCCAAAACATAATGATAAGGTCATGTATGGTGCCAGCTACACAACCCTCCAACCCAGCTCTGCAAACCCCTCACCCTCACCTTTCTTCCCTCTCCTAGAAAATTCAAGGGTGGAGTCAGCCTCTAGAAGACAAGATCTTGAACTTCTTTATATTTTCCATGGCATGGTCATGCTGAGAAATACTCCTTTCCTGCCTTTTACCTCTGCTTGTGTCCTTGACTAGCATTTTGGGACAGTGACCAAGCCTGGTCTACCGGGACCCCTGGGATCAGAGTCTGACCTAAAATCCCAATGATACTTTCCAACCAGAAACTGTGCCAAGCACTAAATAAGTATTAGCTCATTTAAAGCTTCACAACCAGAGGTGAGTGTCATCATATTTGGTGACTGACACAGCCCAGGCTCCAAGCAGCCAAAATGGACAGACCAGTACTGTCACACTGCGCTGGGATGCCAGCTCCACTCACAGCAATCCTGCAAAGGATTGCTTTAACAAACACGGAAGCTGAGGCTCAGAGGAGTGAAGGTTCTCATCCAGGCTCACATCACAGCCCAGGATTCAAACCCAGGAGCCACTTACTCCAAAGCCTTCAGTTCACCCCTGGGCCTCTCTAAATATTCTCTGCGTGGTTCTTTGGTGACAACAGGCCCTTCTGTGCAATTTCAACAGGCCACACTGCTAATTCACACCCCCCCCCCCCGCTCCGTCCCTTCTGCAATCCACTGAGCTTCTAGCTTCAGCTGTGCAAGAGTGGGACCTTTATGGGGACGGGAACTAAGTCATCTCTGCTCATCATGGCATCTGTAGTATCTGGCACATGAACTGGCAAGTGCCCATTGCATAGATGGCTCCATGGGAGGATGTCCAAGGCATGGGTTTTTCTGGAAGGAGCTGCCAGGTGTCACTTTCAAGGGAAGGTGTGTCTTTTCTTATGTGGATTAAAAAAGAAGAGAAAGACCAGAGTATTGTGTGGCATAAGGGAGCCCTGGCTTTTGAGGGGTGGCATTGTTGTCCCAGTAGGACATCAGTCTTAAAGCTGGAAAACGGGATGGGAGGCAGCCCCCCCTGGACATGCTGTGGCCTGGCATGCTGGACTCTGTCTATCCCCACTCTGGATGTTTCTTCTTCTGCCACTTCAAACTCATTCATCTCGAAGGGCAGCTCCTTCATTCCTTCAATCAGTTCCTCAGCAATAACTGAGTGTCTGTTCTGGGCTAGGCAGGTGCTGGGGACCTGCAGAAGGTGGTCAGTGTTCCAAAGATCCAGGGCACAGCCACTGCCCTTATATGGACAGGCTGTAGCCTGTCCATATGAATGGGCAGCGGTGGCTCTACCTGCTCAGTAGCCCAGGAGGAGTCAGTGGAGGGGTCAGAGCAAGAGTGGGCTTCATGTAGCATCTGGAGAGGATGTGGGAGCTCGTAAAAGAACTAACGGCTGATTCCAGGTTCAGGACTTTGTAACATTGTACATAGCAATGTTGTGGGGCTGATTAATATTCAGTGTTCATCTAAGTCACCGGGCTGACACTCTCTCTCTCTCTCTCTCTCTCTCTCTCTCTCTCTCTCTCTTTCTCTCTCTCTCTCCTTTCTAAAGAATCTTGTTCAGGTTGTTCAGGTTGGCCTTGAACTCACTAGGTAAACCAGGCTGACTTTGAACTTGGAAAAATCCTCCTGCCTCAGCCTCTCAAGTGCTGGGATTACAGGCATGTGCTACCATATCTGGCATCAGGTCTGAGTTTCAGTGTAGCACAAATCCTCAGTGATCCTTTACCACCCATGGAGAGCAGGTTTAAAGTCTAGGAACTCTGTGTCTAGCACCAGCTCTGTGATACGGCCCCTCTCTGAGCCTCAGTTTCTATCTCAGCCTTGCAGGATTGTAAGAGTTCAGTGAATGAGTGCTCCCTTCCTTTTACAAACCAGCGTGCAGTCAAGTTTCCTTTTCCTGCTCAAAGATTATTGAGATCCAGATGACTCATGAAACCATGAACAGAACCGCAAAGGCAGGAGATACAGGAAACACCCTGCTGTCCTGAAGGCCGGTGTTCCACACTTAAGCTTAACAGAAAGAAGTTAGAATAGCCGTTTGGCTGAGATCTTTACTCATTTCTGGAGAGTGCTGCTCCTTGAGCCACGCCCCCAGGCCAGGATGAGCTGCCCTTAGCCCCAGCAAGCCTGGAAGAGAAGCCTAGAGGCAGCTCCCTGCAAACTCAGCTTCCTCCCACCCTCCACTCCAGCTGCTACGGATGCTGGGCACCTAGGAGCCTCCTGGCTTCTGTTCTCCTAGACCCTGTGCTGGGGCTGCAGCTCCCTGGTGATTTCTCCTTTCTTTCTCCACCATCCCCAGCGCTATGAGCTCAGGGAAGACCCCAGAGCAGCCCTGGGCTCCACCACCCACCACCCAGGGCTTCCTTAGGCCCTGGGCAAACCATGTCACCTCTCTTGGCCTCCTTCTTCCTCTATACCTGGGCATACACCTAGGTCAGAGGTCACTGGCAAGGACTTAAGATACAACAGGGAGAAGCTTCCACAGTGCTAGGCACGAGGAGACCAGAGAAGTGATAACTTTGAGGCACCAGCATCGTCACCCACCCCACGATCCTGACTCTGGCCAGTCCTCCAGACTCCTTGTAAACTTCTTTGCCCAGCCCAGTGAGAGTTCCCAGGCGGTCACCATCTCACTGTCATCCCACCGTGAGACAGGAGAGACTGGAGCTGCAGGGCAGGACGCCCGTGAGCAGGGCACAGCGCACGCCCTTCGCTCACCTGGGTACCGGCGTGCGTGTGTCCTCCTCTGACCCCCACCCAGGCTGCCAAAGGAGAGGACTTGGCACCTGCACTTACCAGAGAAGATCAGCCCGTTCCCGGTGAGCAGGGCGGCTCCCACCGGGAAATGGCTGTAGGGGCAGTAAGCGGACTTCTTGGCCTCCTGGGAAGACAGCAGCAGGCGCTGGACGTGCTCAGGCTCCAGCGCGCGCGAGGGACAATCTTGGGCCATGTCGTCTAGGCGGGCGAAGCTGTGGCAATGCGATCTGGCCCGGCTGCTGGCCGGAGCAGGTCTGGGGAAAAAGTAGCTCCTCCCCTGGGGTGTGTCCGGCGGCGCCAGGCCGAAGCGGAGCTCCCAGGCTGGCGGGAGACCTTTGGGATGAGGTCCCCAGAGGAGCGGTCAGGCTTTGGGCCGGTGAGAAAGGCTGTGCTGGTGGGTGTCGCTGTGCCCACACGCGCTCTGCGGTTTGCACTGCCCACACCCTGATGGGCGAGGGGCTGAGGGTCCGAGTCAGAGTGCGTGGGCCAGAGGGTGGGTAGCGCTTTCTTAGAGGTGGCTGTGGGTGCGTTTCTCAGGGAGGAGGCTACTGGGTGGGTAAGGGGAGATCTCAGTGGTCCAGGTTTCAGAAGTGGACAAGCCCTCACTTTCTTGAGTGACTCACTCATTGAAGGAAGGAATGAGGCTGAAAGGGAAAAGATGGGGCAGCCTCAGGTGAATTCCTGAGACGCCAGGTATGAAAAACAGCAGTTAAGAGGGACATGTCAAAGCCGGGTGTGGTGGCTCACGCCTGTAATCCCAGCACTCGGGAGGCTGAGGCAGGAGGATCATTGCGAGTTCGAGACCAACCTGGGCTACAAAGTGAGCTCAAGGCCAGCCTGAACTGCATAGGAACCCTGTCTCAAAAAGACAACAAACAAACAAACCAAAAAAAGAGGGACCTAAGTTTATTCCCCCCATTCACCTTCAACTCTGCCCCAACCCTGATTTTAAGTGTCTCAACTGGAGGAAAACCTTGAGATCATCTACTCAGTGCTGCCCCTCTCTCTTTTATTTTTACTTATTTATTTCTAGCAAAATAGATTTTGGAGTGGTGGTAAGAGATACGGGCTCTCCTGCTTCCCACAGGTACAAACTTTGTTAGGCCCTTTGACCTCTCTAAGCTAGTTTCCTCTTCTCTGTAGTAAGTGATCATCTCTGTTCTAGGGCCTGAGATTATAGAGCTTTGGAGCAAGAGCTTTGGAGTTTAATGGGCCCAGGTTTGAATTCTAGCTCTGCCCTTTGTTAGTTATGTGACTTTAGGGAGGCCGCACCACCTCCCTAAGCCTCAGTTTCCTTGTCTGCAAAATGAGTGCACACACAGTGCCTCAGTGTTGTGAACATCAGATGAGTGAGCTGGGGTGAGCACCTCTGTGACTCCACTCAGGCAGGGTTACGGCCATCTAGCAGCTTGGCCAAGATCCTACAGAACTCCAGCGGGAGCAGCCGGAGAAGCCATCCGTCATCGGCTTCTCTGAGTGCTCGAATGGGGACCAGGAAGGGGAAAGGTAGCATCAAGGACGGGAAACTGAGGCAGCATCTCATGTCCTACATGCTGAATCTCTGCGTTTACAGCTTAGCATTCCTAAGCATTCCTGGCTGAGCACATGCAGTGCTCAGCCACTGTATAGACAGGGTGGGCACCCTGCAGGGCTACTGGGGAGCTGGGCAAAGTGTGTCTCATTTCTTCCTCCTCTCTCTTCTCACTCCGCAAACCCTCAGGCCTCTGAGGATCACGGTGCCCTCGGGATCGGTGCTGTGGCAGCAGGACCGGTCCCTGGGTCTCGGGCCAGTGTCCACCCACTTGGCACGGGGATGCCTGTAAAGCTGTCGGGGCCGGGGCATCCACCCTTACAGTTGGGAAGAGGGTTACAGTGGCCTGCGAGCTGGCAGACGGGTCAAGTCCTCACAAAGCAGCTCTGTTCCTGTCCCCTGCCTGTCTCCATTTGCCCCACAGCAGGCCTGGGCCTGGAGTCCTGGATTCTATAGTGCTAGGAGAATTCGAGTGACCTTCTGGGCTGATTATGGCCGTTGGCACCTTTAAAGCTCTTTACCTGCACATGATTGTAAATGGGGTGGTGTCCCCTGCAAGCCCAGCTGTATTAAACATGGGAGCTGTCATTGCTCTAGAGTTCCTTGTGGACGGAGTGTGGGGAGTTATCGGAGGGAGAGAAAATGGGCTTGGAATTTTAGAGCTAAGTGACGGGTCAGTAATAATGGTAACAGCATTTTCTAGATATGCCTTTATTCACTTTATAAAAAAATAAAGAAAGTTAACTGCCCAGCTCAAAGAATAGGAATGTTCAAGATGAATACTTTCTGTGATGATGGTGATTATTAGGGGCCCAAAGCCCTCCAGCACCCCTGGCCCCCAGCCTTTGGTCCATGAGAGAAGGCACTCAAGATCTCCATATTAGAGTCCAGGTACCATTCGCTCACTTATTCATTCTGTGAACAATTCTAGAGACCCTGTGCTAAGTGCATTACCATCAATTATTTCATTTAACCTCCCCACAAAATGGAGATTTACTCGTATTTCACTGATGAGAATGCTTGAGCTTATAGAGATGGAGTCTCAGAAACAAATCTCACCCGTGCTTTCATTTGTCACTGGGATCCTAGGTGCTGTCCATCCCAGAACTCACGGGAGCTGGTTTCATGGGCTGAGGCAGGGTGTGGTCTTTGGATCAGGGTGACGGGAATTTTATTCTGCTCCGAAAGTTTTCTCATCTCAGTTAGGTTTCCCACTGCCTTTCCCTGCAGCCCCTGTCAGCAGGGGGAAGAGCCAATCAGACACTCGCTTTTCTGCTGAATCAGTGAGCATTCCCCACTGTGGTTGCTAGGCTAAGAGGATGCCACACTATTGCTGACAGTTAGCTTCCCTCTGGGTAGTATAAGTTTGCTTGCAAAGTGACACCAAGCGGAGAGAAGCAGGGCTGAGACAGAAGGGAAGAACTTGGTTGTTGTTAGAGTGTCTGGATCCCGCCATGCCTGTAGGCTTCCTTCTGGATTTTCCCTTAATTGAACCAATGAATCTACTTCAGGCTTAAGCTCATCTGGGTTTTGTTTTTGTCAATCCACGACATCTACAGTCACACCCTACTTTCTAGGATTTTTGAGATGGTGTAAACAACCTTTTGGCACAGTGCCTGCACGAGATAAGTGTCTAACAAGTTTCAGCTCATAGGATAGTGAATCTGTGTACCCAGCCCTGTGCTGGGTGCTAGAGGATTGGAGGTAGGTGACATCTGGTACCTGCCTTTGGGTGCTCACACTCTAGTAAAGGAGACAGAGATGTCAAACAGACAGTTGGAAAACAAAGCATGTAACTCGTGATTGGCTCCTGGGTCCTGTGACCATTCTGAATAGTTAGTGGGATAGTGAGTTTGGAAAAGCTTCCAGAGGACAGGAGGCTTCAGGAGTCTTATGTGATGGGTGGATATTCAGGCTGGATAAAGTGGGCAAAGCAAAAGTGGTCAGAGTCTCACCCATGTCCCCACAGCCACACAGCTAAGGGGGAGATTCCCAGACTATCCCCATGGCTCCTTTCCTCAAGCATTCCCTGGGCATGGGAGTGTGCTTGGTTCACGGGTAGGGTGTCATGGTTTATGTAGGTGGCCCCCAGACCTCATGCATTTGCATTGTGCATTTGTGATTGGCTCATTGTCTAGCTCTTGGTTTGGAGGTGTGAGTGCTACACTGGCCTAGGGGTGGAGCCAGTCATGTAATGGCAAGAAGAAGGTGTGTCTGTCTCTCTTGTGGGTTTCTGCCTTGCTGTTTGCAGCTGCCCTGAACTGCGGCCCTGCTGTGCCACTCTGCCTTGGAGCCAAGGGAGTATGGACTGAAACCTCCAAAAACTGTAAGAAATAAACCTTTCCTTTCCCAACTTGGGCTCCAGGTATTTTGTCTCAGCAAGGAGTAAAAAATAACTAAGACACAGGTCAAACCAAGAAGGGACTGACACCCTCTGAAGCAATTAGGATCTATAACATCAGGAATTCCTAAAACCAGTAAGAAAAAGACAAACATCCCAATAGAAAAGTAAGCCAAAAACTTCACAGAAGAAAGGGAGGTGGAAAGAACTTCACTGTAAACTTTTAAAGTCTTCAATTGGCCTTGGGAAAATTAAGACATTTTGTTCAGTGAAGGACTTTGTAGACAAATCCAAAAGACAGTTGAATGCTGGGTGTGGTGTTGCACACCTATGATCCCAGCACTCGGAAGGCTGAGGCAGGAGGATGGCTGTGAATTTGAGACTAGCCTTGATCCCACTATGCAGCTCAGGCTGGACTCAAAGTTCCCCTGCTTCAGCCTCCAGCGTATCTGGGATTATAGGTGCACACACACCATCACCTCTGGCTCACACCAGTCTTCTTATAAGTTTATAATAAATATTGATTTCTGGAAGCTATAAGCTCTTACCTTTTTTTCTTCCCTTGGAATTTGCCTTTCTGTGTAAATGTTAGAAACAGTTTTTTCAGTTACCTCTGAAAACTCTCATGTTTGGTCTCTCAGAGAATTGGCATAATGTGGAAAGAATCCATTCTTTGACATTTGTGTAGGATTTTTCTACACAATCATTATGAATCTGGTGTTTTTAAAAAAGAGTAGCTTATTCATTTAATGTCTTTAAAGATTGTAGAGTTACTCAGATTTTTAATCTTATGTTCCTCCCTTTCCTTTATTTTTTAAAAATTAATTGATTTTTTTGAAGGCAAATTCTTCTCATTAGAATGCCAGGCTAACCTTGAAGTCCTGGAGTCCAGCAATCCTCCTGCCTCAGCCTCCTGAGTAGCTTAGCTCTTCTCTTGGCTCTTGAGTGTTTTTTAGTAAACCAGTTGTGGGTTTCTCCGAGAATTTGTCTGTTTCATCTAAAGTTTCAAAGTGTTTCACATAAAACTACATAACTCTTCCATTACTGACTTTGAAATGTCGGAGATTCAAATATTTGCTAGTACCTTAGCACGTGGCTGATTCTTGTGAATGTCTCATAGGTTAAGAAGAATTAGTGTCCTCTAAATGTGTGAGGCATAAAATTCTACACAGTGTTTGGAACTTACTAATCATGCTCTTCAACAAAACACACTTTCTTGTTCGTATCTATCAATTTCTGGAAGAGATTTATTAAATCTATATTATATGCATTCCTATCAGTTGTTATTTTATATATTTTGAGGTTCTTTTGTAAGATGCATATATTTGTGTTCATTGTATCCTCTTAATTTATTGTTTCTTTTATTGATATGTAATGTATCTC